TTTACTATGGTCCGGTTGCTTCTAACCCATCAGTACACACTACACAAATGTCGCGTTTGTCTCAGTGTTACCAACAGCTTGGCCATTCGTCTAATAAGGTGTTGCAACTTGAGTTACAACGCTGTAATGTTCCAGTTTCTATGTCATCTCTTCAACAATTTTATTGTTCGTCCTGCAATATGCATAAAAGTCATCAATTTCCCTTGGCAAAAAATACTCTAGTTAGTACTAAACCGCTGCAATTAATCTATACTGATGTGTGGGGGCCAACTAAAAAAATCTATTGATGAATTCCACTATTATGTAATCTTTGTCGATCATTTTTCAAAATACATTTGGCTATACCCTATGAAGCGTAAGTCAGATGTGTTTTCCATTTTTACTCAGTTCAAAAGATTAGTGGAAAATTTTTTTAGTCTTTCGATTATTTCTGTTTACTCAGATAATGGGGGAGAGTTTATGAAACTTGTACCATTTCTAAATGATCATGGTATTTCTCATTTTACCACCCCACCACGTACTCCTGAGCATAATGGTGTTGCAGAGCGCCGACACAGGCATGTCGTCGAAACTGGCTTGTCTCTTCTTCAAACTGCGTCCCTGCCGTCCTCGTACTGGACCTTTTCTTTTCAGACGGCCGTCTATCTTATTAACTGGCTTCCAACACCGGTCTTAGGTAATAAATCTCCACTTTATATTTTGTTTCATTAGTTCCCTAACTATGATAAGTTGTAACCCTTTGGCTGCCTGTGTTTTCCGTGGTTACGCCCCTACAACGCTAAGAAAATTCAACCAAAATCACGCCCGTGTGTCTTTCTTGGCTACTCCAGCACTCAGTCTGATTATAAATGTCTGGATCTTGGTTCCAATCGTATTTATGTATCTAGGCATGTTAGATTTGTGCCCCATGTGTTTCCTTATAACGATTTGCAAAACTCGTCTAACAGCTTACCTTATGATTCCCATGGTTCAGAATCAAGCAATATTTTGTACAGGTCGTCTCATTTGTCTACACAGGCAGAGATCATGGGTGTTCCAGCTCCAGTTCCAACACCAGTTCCAACACCCGTTCCAACACCAGTTCCAACACCAGTCCTAACTCCGTCACCGTCAGCTGCGTCCAATTCGTCGTCTCTCACTATTCTAGAAACTGGCCAACATGCAGCTCAGTCCGTGTCTGACTCACAACTTGTTTCAACCTCCGACACGTCTCAACCATTGAGTAATGTTCGTCGTTCCACCCGGGAACGTCGCCCTAATCCTAGGTATTCTGATTATGTCATTAACCAAGTCACGTCACATCCCTAGCCTCCCACTTTAGAACCTACCACCATCGTCCAGGCTCTTAAAGATGCTCGGTGGAGGAAAGCGATGGATGAGGAGTTTGCAGTGCTCCAGCGTAACAAAACGTGGCAATTGGTTCCCCGCGGAGCAGCTGTCCCAATTGGCAGCAAGTGGGTTTATAGTGTCAAGCGCAAACCGGATGGGTCGGTTGACAGGTACAAGGCGCGGCTAGTTGCCAAATGGTTCCTCCAGACTGCTGGCCGAGACTATTTTGAGACGTATAGCCCGGTTATGAAACCGGTAACCATTTGTGTGGTTTTGACGATTGCCCTGAGTAACCACTGGACGTTGCGCCAATTAGATATCAATAATGCGTTTCTTCATGGGACGTTGCATGAAGAGGTGTTCATGGAGCAGTCACAGGGGTTTGTGGATCCTTCGTTTCCATCCCATGTTTGCAAGCCGACTAAAGCTCTATATGGTCTTAAGCAGGCACCGAGGGCTTGGTACTTGGAACTATCGCAGTTCTTGTTACAGTGTTGCTTTGTGAAGTCACAAGCATATGCTTCTTTATTTGTTTACTCTGCTAATAATGTCGTCTTTTATTTCCTGGTGTATGTGGATGATATTATCTTAACAGGTAATGATGTTGCTTGGCTTAATCGCTTTATTGACGCTCTGTCAGCTCGTTTTTCTCTCAAGGACCTTGGCTCCTTACATCATCTTTTGGGCATTGAGGTTATTCCATCGTCAACTGAATTGTTTCTGACTCAAAGTCAGTACATCACTGATATTCTAGTTCCGTTTAAGATGGATGGTGCAAAGACTATTGCAACACCACTAGCTACCTCAGACAAATTGCTACCTGTACCGTCTGGTTCAACACCGGTTGATGTCACTCAGTTTTGGTTATACGGATGCTGATTGGGGAAGTTGCACTACTGATGGTCGCTCCACCACTGCATACTTAGTGTATCTCGGTTCCAATCTCATATCTTGGAAGTCCGCTCGCCAAAAGTCTGTGTCGCGCTCGTCCACGGAGTCCGAGTACCGAGCCTTGGCAAATGCTGCTGCAGAAGTCTTATGGGTAAGGAATTTGCTCAATGAGCTTCAGTTGCAGCTAGTGAGGCCTCCTCTTTTGTTTTGCGATAATCTTGGCGCAACCTATGTGCGCAAAAACCCAGTGTTCCATTCGTGTATGAAGCATCTGGCCCTTGATTACTTCTTCGTTCGTGACTTGGTTGCTAATGGTTCACTAGTTGTTAGGTACATCCCTTCCAAAGATCAGCTAGCTGACTTCCTTACCAAACCCTTGGGCCGGTCCTTGTTTCTTCAGTTTCGTTCCAAGATTGGAGTCTCCAACGGACCCTCAATCTTGTGGGGGCGTGTTAAAGATATGTGTGACTGATATCTTATGTTATTATATTTAGTCCTAGTCTAGTTCCTGTATAATAGTTATTAGGCTAGTTGTTGTAACTGATAGCTATCTTTTCTCATTTGTAGAGCTATTTATAGCTGCATGTGGTTTCATTAATAAATCACTTGTTCATAATCTTTACAGTGATGGCCCGAGTGTCTGAGCCTCAAGGGCCCGCGAGTCCCGGTCCGAAATGACACGTAGCTGAGCCACAAGGGCCCAGCCACTGCACAGCTCTTGCCTAGCGGGGCTTGTGGCGGGGCTTGAGGAGCCCTGCCGCCTGGAACCGCCAAGCGGCGGCCTAGGGCCACGGCTCTAGCCTAGAGCCGTGCCCTAGAGCCGCTCTTCCACGGGGCTTGCCAACGGCTCCTTCTTAGGGCCGTTGGCTAGTCCTGTGTCTCATCTGGTGCACACTGTTTTGTGCACCAATGAGATTCTTCTTCACTTGTAATGACATTTCAGGCAACCAAACACTCCCAAATCATCAACAACACATCAAATATCAGCAATAGATCACTTACTAGTTCAAACACAACAATATTCTATCATTTCTACTCATTTCAAAAAAAAAAAAAAAGACTTCACAGTGTTTAAAAAATAAGCTTTGGGAGTCCATAGGGTTATACCTTTGTAGCCTCTTCGCCTAGAGTGGATCTCAGCATCCTCTCCTTTCAAGGAACTCCACTTCTTTCACCACCTAAACACCCAAGCAACCACAACACTAGGCCTAAGAACTTCAGAGATGGGGAAGCTAGGGAAACAGCAAAGTGAAGAAATGAAAGGGAGATACTTACTGTGAATGTTTTCTTATCAGACAACTTGGAGAGGCAAGGTTTGAGATAAGGGAGCTAAGGAGTGAATAAGGTGGGTTTTATAGGATACAAAACCCTAGGAGATCTCCTTATGATTGGTTGATGATAAAGAGTAGATTCTTGATTGGTTCAAGAAAACATCAGACAGTGCTTGTATGCTTGTGGTCCACCATGCTTCATGAACCATGGTCTAGAACCAAGATTTAAAATAGTTTTGGGGTTAAAATGAATTTCCCAAAAATGACTTCTAGATAAACACTTGCTTTAGGCTTTCTCAGATTTCTCCCGATTTCACTCAGAACGATTTTTCAGTTCAAAACTTGGTACGCAATGTACCCGAAAATTTAGGATTTTAGATCTAAATCATGTCTTGGTGTTGAATTTATTTAAACGTGACTCAAAATAATTTATACAAACACCGATTTCATCACAAAAATTTTTATAGAGTGAAAAATGGCTATTTTGGAATTTCTTAAAACTGAATTTATAAAATTAAATTTTGGGTTGTCACAGTCTAGTGCCTACACTCATGAACAAAATGGTCATGTTGAACGAAAACATAGACACATAGTTGAAAAAGGTTTAACTCTCTTGGCTCGTGCGTCTGTTCCATATAAATTCTGGGATTACTTTTGAGACTGTCGTTTATTCAATCAATAGAATGCCATCTACTTTGTTAAATAACTCATGTCCTCATTTAATGTTACACAAATCCCCTCCGTCATATTCTTTTCTTTGTGTCTTTGGGTGTCTATCTTATCCGTATTTGAGACCGTACAATCGTCATAAAATGTCCTAATGGTCCACCACCCGGACTCACGCGATGAGCACTCGTAGTCAGTCTCAAGCTCCTCTATCAGCTTTAACTGCACAGGTTTGTCTTACTACGGATCCCACTTGTTACACTCAGGCAGTTAAATATCCAGAATGACGTCAGGCTATGGACCAAGAATTTAATACCCTTCTATAGAATCAGACGTGGTGTCTTGTACCTTCTCCGGAAGGTATGAAAATTATTGGGTGTAAATGGGTATTTCACACTAAACGAAAGGCTGATGACGCAATTGAGAGACACAAGGCAAGATTAGTAGCAAAAGGGTTCAATTAGGTACCTGGATAGGATTTCTTTGATACATTCAGCCAGGTGGTAAAGCTCACTACTGTCAGGTTACTTCTATCCTTGGCTTTATCCTTTGGTTGGGTTATTAGACAACTTGATGTCCCTAATGCCTTTTTTTAAATGGAAATCTGTCTGAAACTGTCTATATGAAACAGTTGCCTGGTTATATTGATGCTCAATATCCCGATCACGTTTGTTGAAATGTTCCCTGTATGGCTTAAAACAGGCTCCTAGAGCATGGTTTAACCGCCTACACACCTTCCTTTTTTTTTCTTTTTCTTTTTTTTTTTTACTATCTATTAGGTTCCAAGCATAAAAAATACACGTGTCATTCTTTTATTACTCACATGATTTTGCTTATGTATATATGTTGGTTTATATTGATGATATACTAGTGATAGGGAGTGATCAGGATCTAGTTGCTCAATTGATGTCTAAATTATCTACTGCTTTTAAGATTAGAGATCTTGATGAACCTGATTTCTTTCTTGGGATTGAGACTATTAAATGTGATGATGGAATTCTACTTTCGCAACAGAGATATATGAATGATATCTTGAAACGCGCTGGAATGGCAGAGTGCAAAGAGTTGTCCATGCCTATCTCTATTTCAAAAACTGTTCCATTTAATGCAGACTTGTATGATGATCCTACGCAATACAGGAGTCTAGCTGGGGCGCTGCAGTATCTAACTATTACCCATCCCGACCTCTCCTTTGCAGTCAATCAACTATGTCAACACATGCATGCCCCTATAGTTTCACATTGGGAGCAACTAAAACGGGTCTTAAGGTATGTTAAGGGAACTGTCAGTTTTGGTCTACGTATCAGAAAGTCACTCTCAAGAGAACTTCATGCATTCTCTAATTCTAATTGGGTTGGCTGTCTGGAAGACGGAAAAGAACATCATGCATTCTCTGATTCTAATTGGGTTGGCTGTCTGGAAGACCAAAAATCTACTAGTGATTTTGCTCTGTTTCTTGGTTCCAATCTTGTGTCTTGGGTCTGTAAGAAACAAAGAACTGTTGCTAGGTCTTCTAGTGAAGTAGAATATAAAGCTCTAGCAGATGTCTGTGCTGAGCTAATCTGGATAGTCTCGTTGCTGCGTGAAATCAAGGTGACAGGTATCTTTGTTCCTAAGTTGTGGTGTAATAACCTTGGTGCTACGTATATGTGTGCAAATCCCTTCTTTCATGCCCGTACCAAGCACGTGGAAATTGACTATCACTTTGTTCGAGATAGAGTTGCTTCTGGAGACATTCACGTTAATTTTATCTCAACAAAAGATCAACTTGGTGACATATTTACAAAAGCTTTACCTAGTCCCAGATTTTTCTTTTCTTACAGACAACTACATGTTACCAATATACCATGTGCTTGAGGGGGAGTATTAGGACTCTATGTATTTGAGTCACATTATGACTTCATATCCTTAGTCTCCCAACGATTCTCTCTTGTATATATTCCCTCAGTTTGTACAGTTGTAGTAATTTTTCATCTAATACAGTTATACAGTTCTCGTCTTCATGAATGTTAGTAGATTAATTAGTCTCTGATGATGCCAGTACAAAAAAAAAACATATTAAACAAATAAATGACAATACCAATACTTACAGAGGTTGTAAACCAGTTAAAACATAAAGATTTGAAAATTTTGATATGTGATAAAAATAATGACTAAGAGTGTTAAATGACAAAACATTTTATATAATAAAGTATTTTAAAATTTGCAATTTGAAACTTTGAGGTTTATTGAATCTCTAATGTTTTCACCAACAGCACAATGCCAAGCTAGCTAAAGAAAACCCGTGTTGCTCAATGTGTTATCAAAAGCTATTGTATGCTCTAAGAAATATCACTGAAATTGATCTATTCTTCATAATAATAGAGTAGACTTAGTACATAAGGAATCAATCAATATTCATAGAAAAAAATAAATCAATTAGTCAATCTCGTACTGTAACACCTCCTAAAACCATGCTATTTAAAACCTTAAAACATGCAGATAACTTAAACCAAAACACTAAACACAGCGGAAGACTGAAAGAGAAGATATATATAAAACGAGGGAACGGGGTGCTATGCCACGCTCACCCAGGGGTGAACGCACAGGCTAAATCTGCATTGTTTAAAACCTACAACCATCCAACCGAGTACTACGTCTATATTAGCTCACAGGACACAAAACATAAAGGGGAAACTATGCTAGCTGGCACTAGACCGAGCACTCGTCTAAGCATTACCTGAAAGAAGCATATAAAACATGGGACGATGCCCAGTCAGTGAATAATGCTGGTAACCCACCAATACATGTGAAATATCATACATAGATAAGATATAAGTTTGTAAAATCATTTTTGAAACGGAATACATATATATAAGTCCAAAACCAAGAGTAATAGTCAACACAAGACTCAAACACTCTCAACAAGAACACGGGAACACATCCCAAGACTACAAAGAACAACAACGACTCACAAGAAGTCTCAAGGTACAATCTATCATCACACAATATATTACTACCCGACATGCATCACTCAAAGGAATAAAGACACAACAAACGGCGACACATGCAAAGGCAACACATGCCTTTGTGACTACACACGTCACAAGAAGAGAACTCACGACAACGGCTACACAAGCCCTCGTGACATCACCCATCACGAGTTGATATGCATTCCTTATGCCCGGTTCCAACCTTATGGCTACCCCCAACCTTATATCTAGTTCCAACTGTAACACCCCGAAAATTTGAAACTTTTAAAACTTATATAACAAAGGTAATTTCTTATTAAGTCCCAAAAGTAAGCATAGGAGTACGGGGTGCTATGCCACACCTGAGTTAGGGAGCTCAGGTGCACAGGCAACTAACTAAAATCCCCAAAGTAAAGTCAGTACATAAGCATGGCACGCAGGCTGAAAAGAGGAAACTAGCTACACTACGCTTCAGATCTCTAGCGCGCTCCTGTGTCTACTCCTCTGTGTCTGAAAGCCAAATATATCTGTTCAGCGAGAGATGGTGGTAACCCACTCCAACGTGTTGAAATATATTATAGATAGATATATATATAGATATACGAAAATCATTTTGAAGCAGGAAGATATGCACTTAAGAGACACTAATTTAAAAACCAGGAATGGACTCAGCAAATAAGGGTAAGCACAATAATTAGAGATAACAGTTAAGTAGAATCATCATAAAGAATACGCAACTAAAGTCACAGTCTATGCCCATATTAATCATCATTCTAATCATCATCCAATCATCATTCAATCATCATTCAATCGTCAATTGTGACACATAATCACACTGCTCTGGCGCCACGGGACCAATCGCATGCCCCGAACATGAGGGTTAATGCGTATAGCATTAACACGGCCCCGCAGCACCCTACCTCATACCGCGGCATGAAGGGAGTTGATCGCAACCAACCCATAGAGGACCGCTGACGAACTCAACGTCGGACCACAATCCGACACACCGCTGACGCGCACAGTCGGTGGACCGTGATCCCCTTTACAAGGGGGGACTTACGACCCTACACACCGTTGATGCGTACAGTCGGTGGACCGTAGCGGATCAAGCCCGATACACCGCTGAGCTAGACTCAGTCGGTGGGCAAAGATCCTCGGAGGCTACGGCCCTACACACCGCTGTCCCATCACTCGGTGGATCGTAGCCAGCCGTAACCCTACACACCGCCTAATTACTCAGGTCGGTGGACTACAGCCTTCCTCGGTTTATTGGCCCTACACACCGCCTGGCGCGTCCAGGTCGGTGGGTCATAGCACCGAGGCCCATGTGGAACGCAGCCCAAGAGGTGAATCAATTCGGCCTTCAGCCAACTTCTGAGCCTTAGCTCAGGAACAATCCATTTGGCTTTCAGCCACTTCTGAACCTTTAGTTCAGGAACAATCCATTCGGTCTTCAACCGACTTCCGAACCTTAGTTCGGGAACGATCCATTCGGCCTTCAGCCGTCTTCCGAACCTTAGTCCGGGAACCACCCAATTGGCCTATAACCACAATGGGGGATCATGCAACACATAACACATAGGAGCACGTAAGAGCATATCGGGAGGGGAAAGACATATAAATAAACTTACGTGTGATCATTCACATACTAAGAATAGTCCTAAAGGTTCATACAACTTCTACCTAGGTCAACGGGTTACCAATTCAACTAGCATGCAATCCCTAAGACTCATTTAACCTACGAACTGTACCCAAAATATCAAACTAGACTCAAGCACGATAAACGGGGTCCGTTGGGACACCATGGGGAGCGGGGAACTTCAAGCGGGGAAGCTGGAGACCCGGGGTGGGTAACGGACCAGCGGGTAGCCGGTGGGTGGGGGATCACCCGCCGGAGATCACTGCCCGGCAGCGGGTTGCCGGTGGGTGGACGCCTGCCCGGCGCCTGCCCGCTGCCAGGCGGTGATCTTCGGGCCACGGGTAGGTGGCGGGTACACCTACCCCCCACTGACTCTTTCATCACAAATTCGTCCTGGGATCCTTTGTGGAACCTGAAACCGTGCTTAGACACTTTTAAACGTAATTAACGACACTACGTAGTCAATTAATGGATCAAAAGCAAAAATCATGTATAACGACACATCCTATCATGACTTCTAAACATAAACAACACCCGAACATGCGAATTTCCACCCAAATATAAATCAAGAACATTACAATACAAATTCCCAATCCATCCTAGGGCTCTAATCCCACCCAAATCATCAAGATCATAACTTATCTTTAACATCAATAAATATCAAGAGTTGTCAAGGATTATCACATCAATATCAAGAACTTCTGTTCAACATCAAGATCATCAAGATTATCAAGAATGCACATAGATCATCTTATCAATCATCAAGAACATAACACAAGTAACATAGAAGAATTTATCAAGATACAAGAATGTAGAGAGAGGCCAAAGAAGGATATTATAACGAAGAAAATAGGCTTTGTTGAGAAATGGGTTACCTCTTAGCCTTAATTAATTTCCTTGGCTATGAAGGGTATTTCTTTAAGATTTCTTCTTTCTTGATTTCTCCTAAGGGAATTCTTAGAACTTCTTGTGTGGTGAGAGATTATTGTGGTGTAAGGTCTAGGTGCCTCTTATGTCCCTATTTATATATATTTAAGAGTGCTAATTAGGGACTAAGTGGTATGGGTTTGCTAATTCTATTTCCTATAGGACTAGGGGATTGGTTTTATGGATAAGGGTCCTTGGACTATGGTGGACCCCTCTTTAGCTAATTAATGGATTTTAATTCCCTTTTGAGGGTGAGTAGTTAATTAATTAATTTTGTTTAGGGGTCGTAACACGGGGTGTTACACTCTCCCCCCCCCCCCCTTACAAGAGGCTTCATCCCCGAAGCCGGTGTGTGGATCCATTCTTTCACCCCTAGACGTCGCGTATTTTGGCCTCCCGATTAGGAAGTGTGGCCCTGCGCGTTGTCTTTGCTGGGGTAGACTGGATTTCTGGTGAAGTGGTGGTTGGAGAGTTTGAGTCTACCTTGGTTTCCTGCTCCCAAACTGGATGCCCCGTGAGTGCCCAAGATGGTCTCGATTGCTGCCACCCTTTGATCAAAGGCGCGTGTTGCGTGAATTAGGGCTGAGAACCCTTCATCCATGATTTGGTTCTGTCGGGTGAGTTGTGCGAGGATGCGCTCGTTGGTGGTTTCTTCGTTTTGGCCTCCCGGGTTTCTCCTTGCTTGTGTGGGAGCCGGTGGTTCGGGCTCGCTATCCTCCTCTTGTTCCTCATTTCCCCCACATTATTGCATTGCCCATTTAAACTTCTTGTTGGAGATATCTAGTCGATCAACCAACTCCCTCCGTTCCTCTTCAGGTTTAAGGCAAACTTCGTCGAGGGTGATGTATTGTCCCCCTTCGATGCAGTAGATATCATTGCGACGGAGATTCTGGGCATTGGAAACCATTCCGTTTGCGGTCATGACCTCAGTGTGGCTCAGGTCTACTCCCTTTTTCTCCATGATCCAACTTAGGATCATCCCGTAGGGTAGGCTAAGCCGGTTGCTAGTCTTGCAAAACTCCATGTGTTTCAATATAAGGGCCGGTAGGTTGAACTTGATTTTGTGTTTTAGGAGGTAAGCAAAAGTGCATTCTAAGCTTCCTACATCTTTGCTCTTGTTATTTGTGGGCAACAGGCTATCAGTTACTATCATGACTAGAATCTTTTGCTCTGCGGTCAACCATTTCCTGTTCGGCCGAGTGCCGAGGTGAAACCTTCTTCTCTCCCGAGTAGGTACCCGAGGTAGTCCTTGTACCCCATGTTTTGGGTACCAATCCATCCTTTCCGGTCGTAGTCTGACACACCCGTGGTGGTCAGTTTTAAGAGTTTGGCCAAGCGTC